TCCGAAACTTCCTGGAGCCCAGGCCTGTGCGGTTCTTCAAAGACTCTCAGATTGTCCTGGTTTGCCTAGAAACTGCAGGATCTACACAACAGACGAGACACTGCCTGTAACTAGGGGTACTAGTCGCTAAAGCTGCAGACAAAACTGTATGTGTATACATACCAATACGCAAAAACATAAAGTGAATATATATATATATATATATACATATGTAAATAAACATATAAACAACTAAATAACTAAATGATGGATTAAATACACACACATATATATGGAGCATCTCTATATATATATATATACATACATACATACATACATATATGTGTGTGTGTGGGTGGGTGGGCGTGCGTGTGCGTGTGTGTGTATGTGTATTTATGCATATATATATATATATATGTATATATATATATATATACACGTATACACACGCATACATGTCTATGTATATATACACACACAAAGTATGTAGAACGTAGACACTACTCTACCATGTTATACCATACTATACAATACCAGACCAGACCAGACCGGACTACAATATGCATAACATGTCGGTTACATGCCCAGTTTAAAAAAGACGGAGTCAGTGTCACTATGTGGCGGCTACGGGCCCCAGAAAAACTTTCCTGCTCTTGCAAAGTCTTGGTACCGGGCACCGTGAGAGGAGCGCCTGACGGCGGAGGTCGGCAGAGCTTGTGGATAAGTTGGTGCGGCTTCCCAGATTACATTATCCCAAACCAAATGGTGAGTAGTCTAGTAATCGTAGGGCAAGAGGGATCCAGTGCTCGGTGGGAAAATGCTAATAAGCCAATTGCGAGGTGTAAGTGCGTAATTACATCGTCGCTGCAAGGGCGGCTCAGTACCAACTCCTGGAACCTCCTGTTCCATGCACAAGACAAAGCCCACCTTTTCATTCGATGCGAAGCTTCAAACCCGAAGCACACGCCTTCTGGGACGCTGCTGAAGTCAGCAGCCACCACGGGGGAGCTCGAGACCAACCTGCCCAAACTGAACGGAAGTTTAGCTGGACTGTTAGAGGGGTTTCGGAAATGCTGAACTGAATTCTGAATGGCTTCCGCCGCAGATGAGTTGCATAAGTTTGGGTCTTTGGAAGAGCTGTCGAGCAAATCCCCAACCCCTGCGGAATCTTCCTTTGCGTCACTCATCAAGCAATTCTGGAGTCGCTGGAGGCTTCCCATCCAAATGGGGAAATGCCTAAAACCTCTTCACAGCTCTGTCGGGAGCTCTCGACATGAGGAACCGATGCTTGGAAACCTACTTTGGACACGAGACACTCGCACTGCATGCAGGCTTGGCGGAGCTCTTTTCGGGGGGAAGAAGCACCACAGCAAGGGATGTACAGCTGGCATCGCCGGCTTAATGGTTCGGGACTTCATCCAGGACCTGAGGTTGGATCCTAGTGGTCCAAAATGAACTGGGCTCCGCCATTAAGCTTGAACTGCTGCACGGTGAACTGTGTCATCACTTCTTCAAAACCACTTGCAAGCCATCCACCGGGAACAGGCCGGGCGTGTAGCCTGAGCACACAACATGAAGCAACTAAATCAGGTAGACATGGCAGCACTGCATGCCGGCTGCGCAGGTTCAACAAGCTGGCAGACAGAGGAAACTTTTCAACAGCACCTCCAATGCTTGCAATTTTGAGCAAGGCTGGAACTGGAAAGGTTTGACTCATGGCAAAGCTTCCAATTTCAGGTGCAACAATGCTGTGCTACTGCATTGACAGGCAGGCCATGATTGCAAGCCAGTAGAAGACTGAGGTGGTCAAGCTGCTGATTTACCCTAGCTGCAAGCATCGGGAGACAGATAGTCTTCGTGAATGCACCTTCCGCTCATGCGAATCCTTCTGCCGGATGATGCAGGCGAAAACTCAACCATCCTATCCTCTCGCCCCAGCATTGGGAAA